GTCTTCTACATCTGATAAGAAAGTACCCCTTTATCTGTTTTTCATTTCCAGAACAAGTAGATAGCCAATCCTTTCTCTGATATAGTGAATAAAAAATACATTTTCTTAATGTTAAATATCAAGATCCTAAACATTCCAAATATTCTTTAAAATCCCTAGCCATTGATTTGTTCATATGGAACATGGTTATGAATTAACAGGCCATGTAACTTTCTCTTATGTATATTTAATCTGGATTTTTTAGTTTTTCAGTATTTTTATTTTTAAAAAATGTTTTAGGGTTAATCGTAATATTTTTTTTAATTGTAAGCTTCTCATTGACTGAGATAGCTGGCTATGGAAATTAAACAAACAAAAAAACTTGGCAATTTTGAATTGCAGGGAGTTCAACTCCTAGAATTAGTAGCAATAGCCATGCTGGCTGGGCATTCTGGGAACTGAAATCTCTGCATCAACACATCTTAAAGATGATGAAGTTTGAAAATACAGCTGTGAATGTAGGTTTCCTGCTTGCAAGAGTGCAAATATTGCTATACCTGGAGAATGGGTTCATGTAAAAGAATTGTCTCCCTTATGCACTGATCCAAAGTGGTCCCACTCTCGTCAAGTCCTCCTGAGCATTCCTACTGCAGTGAAGGTGGAAGAGTTTAAGGTGTGGGTCCACGGCTTGAGAGTCAAGAAGGTGCCCCCACCTCTCATCCAATGGCAAGCTCAGCAATTGAATGACTTGAAAGTTCTTTTTCAGAAAAGTCCTTCAGAACTCTTCCCACCTGACTGAAAACAATTCACAATGGACTGAGCTATTCTAAAAAATGGGAATGTAGTTGGATTGATTGGACTTTTGTGTTCTTTTATTGTTGCTTCCCTTGTACCTTCTTTAGAAAAAAAGACATTATGATACTCACAGCAATTCCAAGAAGATATACTCCTATAGTTTCTTTCTGACAGAAAGCATTCTGTCACAAAATTAAAAGGGAGGAAATATAGGGTTTGCACAAAAGGGTAAAAACTTATTCTTGTTGTTAGCCTACCACCATTTTGCTTCTGTAAACTGTGCTTAGGATGCTATTTTATGAAGGCAGGAAGAACACGTACACAGACCCAGAGACAAGAAAAAGAGCGGGAAAAGAATGGAATGTGATTGGCTGATACTATGTGTATTGACATGTGTAACTCTGTGATTGGCTGTTGCTGCCTGAATAAGGAAATGCCTGACTGACCAAGGTGTGGCACTTCTTTTTATTGAAAAGTTTTGTACAATATACATCCCAATCCCACCCACCCCTAACCCCCCAGCCCACTTCCCAGAGCTGAATACAGGGTCACAAATAAACAATCAAACTCTAAAAAAAACATTACCCAACTATACAAGTAACCAAGTCCATAACGGACTTTAAATCCCTTATAACATAAATATAAACAAATTAAAATTAAACATAATATAAACAAATCAATATTGTTAAACCATACTAAAACTAATAAAAAAAAACTATTAATAATACTCTAAAGTTTACTCATAGGCTAAATGAAACTTTTTAATCCCATATTTATTCTAAATATAATCTATCCATCTTCTCCAAACCAAAATATATCTTTCTTGTGAGTGATCCTTCAAGTAAGCAGAAATTTTTGCCGTTTCTGCTAAATTTGACACCTTAAGCATCCAATCTTCTATAGTAGGCAAAGAATCTTTCTTCCAATATTGCCCTACTAATAACCTTGCAACTGTTATCAAGTTCAACATCAAGTTAGTTTCTTTAGCATCACAATCTACAATAACACCCAACAAAAATACTTGTGGCATGAACTTTATCTTTCTTTTAAAAATCTTTTGAATGTTCCACCAAATCTTAATCCCAAAAGCTTTTATATTTCTACAAGTCCACCAAATATGAAAATAGGTTGCATCCAAGCTACCACATCTCCAGCATTTGGGCTGTGAATTGGGATACATATAAGACAGCTTTTTGGGATCCAAATGCCACCTATAAAACATTTTAGAAAAATTTTCTCTTAAATTTTGAGCCTGGGTAAATTTTACATTTCTAACCCAAATTACCTCCCATATATCCAATGAAATAGGTTCTTGAATATTTTGAGCCCATTTTATCATACAATCTTTAACTAAATCCATTTCAGAATCCAATTCTATTAAAACAGTATAAATTCTCTTTATGTGGGCTCAATTTGAATCTTTAATCTATTTTACCAAATTCTCATCCCCTAAAGTAATGCCAACCTTTTGATCTAAGCTCCACCTAACCAACAATTGGTTATACTGAAACCAAGACTGTATAATATTTTCTTGCTTTAACTCAACTAAAGATTTTAATTGTCAATCCTTCCCTACCAATCTAAGTAATTCCTTATAAGAAATCCTATCCAAGTTCACACCCCTAGATACCCCCTCTATCGCGTGTCCAGGAATCTCCCAAATTGGTATTTTATAATTTAACCTATAATAATACTTCTTCCAGACACGCAATAAAGCACTTCTTAAAATATGGGATTTAAAAACCTGATCTACTTTTTTTATCATAAATTAGATATGCGTGCCATCCATATAGTAAATCCCATCCCTCAAGAGAAAGTATATTTTTATTTGTTAAATTAAGCCAATCACTAATCAATGTTAAAGCCACTGCATCATAATATAATTTCAGATTAGGCACCTTAAGTCCTCCTCTTTCCCGTACATTTTGTATAATCTTGAACTTAACTCTTGGTTTTTTCCCCACTCAAATAAATTTATTAATACCCTTCTGACATTTATCCAAATTGGCATCTTTTTTCAAAATAGGTATCATTTGAAACAAAAAAAGAAACTTTGGACGAACATTCATTTTAACCGCTGAGATTCTCCCCAGCAAAGATAATTGTAGTTTTTTCCAATCATTTAAATCCTTTTGCACTTTTACCCATAGTGTCCCATAGTTATTTTTATACAATTTAACATTAGAAAACAATTTTTATACAATTTAATATTAGAAGTTGTAATGTATACTCCCTTTTTCACTATTTCAAAACCTGTCAATTTAGCTAACATATCCTTTTCCTTCGTAAACATATTTTTCGGTAATATTTTAGTCTTGTTATTATTTACCTTAAAACCAGAGACTTTCCCATACTGGGTTATGATTTCCACCACATCCCTTACCGAGTGTGTCATTTGAGATAATGTCACAACCAAATCATTAGCAAAAGCTCTCAACCTATAATCATTCTTATTTATTTTTATTCCCTTTATTGTAGTTGATTCACAAATTTTAATTAGTAAAATCTCCATTGTTAAAACAAATAACAATGGGAATAATGGACATCCCTGTCTTGTACCCTTTTCAATTTTAAATGCTTCTGTTAATCCCCCATTAATTATAATTTGTGCCGATTGTTGTTGATGCATAGCCTTAAGAGCATATAAAAATTTATCCCCAAAATTCATTTTCTCTACAACTCTGAATAAAAATTGCCAATATAACTGATCAAAAGCTTTTTCAGCATCCAAAAATATCACATGCCTCAATGTTATACAATCTGAAGGTGGTGCTATACAAATTGTTTCCCTTTTTCACTTTATATCCACGCAAGCAGAAGGGTGCAAGAGCCTCTTCTTTTAATCCATTGGCTGGGTGAAGAAAGAAAGACAGGCACAGAATCTCTTAGAACAGCAGCTCCCAAAATAGGAAGAACACGTACCCAGACCCAGAGACAAGGAAAAGAGCGGGAAAAGAATAAAATGTGATTGGCTGATACTATATTTTACTGACATGTGTAACTCTGTGATTGGCTGTTGCTGCCTAAATAAGGAAATGCCTGACTGACCAAGGTATGGCACTTCTGAACACAGCTGCCTTTGTTTCAGGCAGTGTTCCACCCTGCAACTTCACTTGATCAATTAAAGTGCTATTTACCTTGGAAGCCTCTGCTTGAGTCTCCTGATTTGTCTTCTTGGAACCTCAAGTTCTTCTCTCTCAAAGCAGGAGGTGAGGCCAGGATGAGAAGAGCCAGAAGGCCTTTGAGATAGGAGCCATGAATCCTCCACCCTTTTACTCCATGGTCTCAGGAAGAGTATAAAAATTTCAATTCTTCACTCCAAAATTCTTGAAAATAACTAATGTCTATTTTATCAATGCTCATTATTTGTGGAACAAAAATGTATCATTTTAGAGTTTAGATGGTTTGTGTGCTACATACAACATCACAGTCTGATTTGGAAGCATTACTGCTTCAGAAAAGAAGGCGGTGCAGAGAGTGGTGAGGATGGCAGAAAAGATATTGGCAGTTCCCTCCCTTCCATCCAGGACATAGCACATAAGTGTTGCTTGAGGAGAGTCCTCAAGATTGTCTAGGACACTATACATCTTCTTCACATCCTGTTTTCCTTCTTACCTTCTGGGAGGAGGCTCATGGTATCCAAAGCAGAAGATCCAGATTCAGTCACAGTTTTGTTCTATACAGTATTAACCTTGTGAATTCTAAAGCTTCCTCCTTCTGTTATGCATTAAAGATGGATAGTGATTAATATTTATGTTACTTATATGTAAGGGTGTTGTATGTAGTTGTATATAGTATATTTAAATGTTTGTTATGTATATGTACACTTTGAGAGCAAACAACTAAATTTCATTTTTAACGTGTGCCATTGTGCCCACAGTAAAAAAAAATGACAATAAAGGTTATCTATCTATCTAGTATGATGAAATGTGTTTGTACTATAGTAGTCTGGTTTCTGAGGTATTTTTGAAGTATGGCAGTGTTAGCCTTGCCACAGCTTGTGTTGATTGTGCTATATTGGATTGAACAGTTAGACATGTTTTGATAAAGTTGCCTGGGAGAAGGTAGTCTTTCTCTTGTTAATTGGGTTATTACTCAATTGTGTTCTATGTCCTCTCTTGGTCATTTTTGAAATACACAAGCACCACTTACACAATGATTGACTAAATATCAGCCTTTTTAAATATTTGAGCACTCTACAGGAATATAAGTTGGCTAAAGGACATGACATGAGTGACAGTTGGAGACTAGGTAAGGTAAGGCAAGGTAAGAAAAGAATTGCAACTAGTATGTTGTTAATAGTGTAATTTGTCATCTACACAGAACTCCAAGAAGAACACCAAATTTATTGTTTGTAATGGAAACTTTTGTGGATGAAAATTGAGTTCATGAAACTAATTAATTAATTAGGGAAACTAATCTAATAATATATACATTGTTTTTCTTTATGTTAGCAGGAGTCATGATTTTTAAAGAACTAAATTAATATTGACCATAAATGTAGGAAGTACTGTTAATTACTATATTATTATCAACAGCCAAGTAATGGAGCCAGAGGACGATTTCCTATATAAATACAAAGGAATCTATTTCGTAACTGGCTTATCTTCACCCGAAGGTATAGATTTACTGGACAGTTTGGAAATCCGAGATGATGATATATTCATAATCACATATCCTAAATCTGGTAAGTTCAAAGATGTCTTCCAAGAAAGAGATAATCTTGTATCCAATGCTGTTATTCAGTTCCTCAGGATTTTGGTTGCTGTAACTGTGTTGTGCTATAACCAAATTTTAATATTTAGCATTTTATTTTTTAGTTTTTTTTAATGTTTTATTGATTTTCTAATTTTAAATTTAAGTATTTAAAAAGCAACGTCATGGCTGAGTTAATCGATAATTCAAGTATCTTTAGCACAAGTCTCAAACTAGCACATTAAATATTTCCTCTCTTTTCCATTAGTATTTACTGTCTCATGTTTAAACTAATACAATTCTTATTATATCAATTAAATAAAAATAACATTCTTACATTTATCAATAATTTTTAGCTTATACACTTCCTGGTTAGTTTACCATTTAGTCTTTATAAACAATCAATGCCCTAATTAGTTTTTTCCCAATTTTTAGTTTCATACATTATTAACCTTGTGAACTCTAAAGCTTCCTCCTTCTGTTATGTATTAAAGATGGACAGTGATTAATATTTATGTTATTTATATGTAAGGGTTTAGGTCTGTACATATGTTGTATATAGTATGTTTAAATGTTCGTTATGTATGTGTACATTTGGAGAGCAAACAACTAAATTTCATTTTTAATGTGCGCTATTGTGCCCACAGTAAAAAATGACAATAAAGGTTATAATGGTTAGACATATTTTGATAAGGTTGCCTGGGAAAAGGTAGTCTTTCTCTTGTTAATTAGGTTATTACTCAATCTTGTTCTATGTCCTCTCTTGCTCATTTTTTGGAATACAGAAGCACTGCTTACACAATGATTGACTAAAGATCAGCCTTCTTAAATATTTGAGCACTCTATAGGAAGATAAGTACACTGAGAAACCATTACAAATAAGTTGGCTAAAGGACATGACATGAGTGACGATCAGAGACTAAGTAATGCAATTCTTATTATATCAAATAAAACTAACATTCTTATATTTATCAATAATTTTTAGCATATACATATCCTGGTTATATTAACATTCAGTCTTTATAGACAATCAATGTCCTAATTAGTTTTTCCCAATTTTTAGTTTCCCATTAATATTTAAATTTAACATTTAATATTTATAATTTCCAAGTTTTAAGTAACCAAAGTTCTCTTTATCACAATTCATCACAAATCTATTATTCAGGATACCCGTCTTATCTATTTGAATATATTCTATTTCTCACATCATCTAATTAATAATACAGTATAACATTCTTATGTTCTATTAATTTCCAAATTTCTTAAATTTAGTAACCAAAATTTCTCTTGTTTCAACATAAAATACTTCCTCTCTTTTTCTCTTAATGTCTACTATCTCATATTTAAGCCAGTATAGTACTTATTATATCATCTAAGTAAAAACATGTTTATTACATTTATCAATAGATTTTAGCTTATATATATCTTAGTTACTTTTACATTCAACCTTTATAAACAAATCAATATTCAAATTTAACTTTTAATATTTATACTTCCAAGTTTTTAATGACCAAAGATTTCTTTATCTCAGTTCATAACAAAATCTAGTATTCAAAGTACACATCTTGTCTATTTGAGTATATTCTATTTTAATCCTCACTAATAAGTCAAAACTCCAATTTTCTTCAGCCTTATTCTAGCTTTCTTTCTTTGCCAACTCGCCTTCCATATCCGTGCTTTTAAGTCATAAAATAGATCTCCCTCTTTTATTATATATCTTGTTTGAAATAAAAGAGGCCATCCAGTCACCATTTTTTTTTTGGAAGGGCTAACAAATCGTCTCTCTATTTTTCCATCTTGGCATAGTTGTACTGAAATGTTTATCTTCTCTTCAGGCTGTTCTTTTTCTTGATCTTCAGATTTTTTCTGGTTTATATAGAAAGTCCTTTCCATTTCCAATGTTGTCAGTCCCTTTTCTGGGTTTTCTGTTAACTGTGCTTGTTGATCAGTTGAGTCTTCTATCATAGTATTTGATTGTTCCACTTCTTCCATTATATTCTGTGCAGCTGATTCTTTAGTTGTAATCAAAGTTTGTTTTCATATATCTAGGCCAGGGGTAGGCAACCCAAAACACTCAAAGAGCCACTTGGACCTGTTTCCCACCGAAAACAAAACACTGTGAGCCGCAAAACCCTTTTGATATCTAAAATGAAGATAACACTGCATATATCCTGTTTTACCTTTATTATAGGTGTGTGTGTATGCATGTGTGTATGTGTATTAGATAGATAGATAGATACACACAAATACACACACCTATAATAAAGGTAAAAAAGGATATATGCAGTGTTATCTTCATTTTAGATATCAAAAGGGTCTCTCTCTCTCTCCCTCCCTCTCTTTCTGCCCTTGGTCTACCAGTCCTCTTCCCCCACTCTTTCTTTCTCTTTCTCTCTCTTTCCTCTCTCTCTTTCTCCCCCCCTCTCTTTCTTTCTCTCTCTCTCTCTCCCCTCTCTTCCCCTCTCTCGATCTTCTGCTCACCTGGCAAGCTGGCTTCAAGCTGTTCTCCAACAAGCTAAGGGGTAGGCAACCTCGGCTCTTTTATGACTCATCGACTTCAACTCCCAGAATTCCTGAGTCAGCATAGCTGGGCTAGCTAGCTCTCTCCTGCCCTTCCTGCTTCCTGCAGAGATGCAGCAAAGGGAGAACCCCTTTTCAGCTTGTCAGAGAACACCGTGAGTCCACTGTCTTTTACACACACACACACACACACAGAGAGAGAGAGAGAGAGAGAGAGAGAGAGAGAGACAGAGACAGAGACAGAGACAGAGACAGAGAGATACAGACAGACAGAGAGAGAAGCAGGGAAGTGCAAGTGCCTCTCTCTGTCTCTCTCTGCAAATGGCAGAGAAGGCTGGGAGCCACAAGGGGAGGCTCAAAGAGCCGCATGAGGCTCCAGAGCTGCAGGTTGCCGACCTGTGATCTAGGCTGACATCTTGTTCTTTTCTGTAGCTTCTTATTTTATCAGTAGCTGTCAGAATAGTTTCATAAATTGCTTTCAACCTAAAGAGAATCTGTTCCTGATCTTCATCCAAATTCTCTTAGTGGTATGTTAAATTAAAAGCTTTACAATCAGAGAATGAAAATAATTTTGTCACTGAGGATAGAACACAGCTGGGCTTCTCACAGCTGATATCTGCCAAGCTTGCAAAAGTCTTATCTATAGTCTGGACTTCAAGCCAAGTCTCTTTTAGATAATAAGTTGTAATATCAGGTTTGGCCACAAGATGTCACCCATACCATTTAAGATTTTTTTTAAGTCCAAAATTTTTATAAACCTTTTTCCAATTTTACTTCTTTTTTGTAAGTAAAAACCCAAATCTTCAATAAGAGTAAGAAATCTTTTAGTCCTCAAATTTGAGAAAGATAGAAATCCAGTTAGAATCAGGTTATTCTTTCAGCATTTTAAACTCCCCTGGATAGTCAGTTGCCCCTGTTTTTAGAGGGTGGGATAGAATTTCCCTTCCCTCTCTCCACAGGGGGGGGAAATACTTTGGGTAAATTATACAGGTAGAAAAAATAGTTAAGATTGAAGAGAGGTTCAGATCTCACCCACGCTGCTTTATAGGTGCCTGGTAATAAGTTTGACTTCGGCTGTCTGCAGCCTATTGATGGGCCATATTTTTTTTAAATTTTATTATTTTATTTTCATTACAATCATAAGAAAAAATATTCAGATACATAACAAGTTAAAATACAACACACAAATTCTGACATTGCTCACCCATTTCCCCCCAAACCGCATCCCCCTCTCATCTCTTCACTTCCCCCTTCCTTCTTCTTCCTCACTCTCCTTCTCTCCTCCCTCTCTCCTCCATCTTTCTACTTGCTTATCCCTCTCCTCTTCTTCTCAATCGGATGCGGTCTAGAGGAAAATGCCCGAGCAATCCTCTATCACCCAAAAAAAGGAAAAAAAATCTTAAAAATATAAAACTATTACTACTTATCTGAACTATTGAATATACTACCCATACTCTCCCCTCCCCCCTCCCCCACCCCCCTTCTCCCACTGGCTTGCCAGAGCTCAGTACAGAGTTACACACACAAAAAAAAACTAAACATAATCAACTTAAATTTACTACTTATACAATAACCAAAATCATAATAACCCTTAACTCTCTGCAAACTTCAATTCATAATTTAATAAAAATCCATTATTCATAAAATAAATGAAATTTTGTTGTTCCATACTTCTTCTTAATATATTCTATCCATCTTCTTCATACAGAAACATATCTCTTTTGTGAATGGTCCTTTAAATAAGCAGAAATTTTAGCCATTTCTGCTAAATTAGAAACCTTGAATACCCATTCTTCTAAAGAAGGCAGAGAATCATTTTTCCAATACTGATCCACCAATAGTCTTGCTGCTGTTATTAAATTCAGCATTAAAATAGTTTCTTTAACATCAAAATCCAGATGGGCCATATTTTTATGGCTGGTTTTTTGTCCGCCAGTTTGGAGGCTGCCCCAGATCGAGTGGAAGGGCTACCACCCTCCCACGATCAAGCAGGGATTAGCTCCTTGTTTGCCCCTACAGAGCGACTTTCGACCCTTTCCAGGGTCTGCCAGCAGTGCAAAATCAGACATGGAAGACGGACCTCGCCTTCCAGCGGCTGCGACAGCCATGTCAGCAAATTGGAAGCCTCAACATTTAGCATTTTATAAGAAGCTGAAAATGCAAGGAAAATAAAACTGCTAAACCTGTACTTTCATCATTTTTATTTTACCCATACATTGCTGGATGGATGACCTTGGCCAGTCACACTGCCTCAGCCCACTCAGGATAGTTGTGAGGAAAATAGGATGAGGAAGGATTATTAGATATGCTTGCCATCTTGAGTTACTTCCAAAACTAATAAAAGCAGGATAGAAATCAATGTGCAAATAAATAGCTAGTTTTTCTCATCCATCCATCAGTTTAATCTATCAATTTTAGAAAACTTCACTGTGTTCACGCATCTATGAAATGTTTGCTAAGGTTGGCTTTGCAGAAGTTCAAAGTTTCCCAACTAATAATGGATGAATTAATTTAATTATTCCTTATTTGCAGGCACAATATGGACTCAGAATATTGTGAACCTGATTCTTCATGAAGGTCATCGAGATGAAACTGAAAATATTACCCTGATTGACCGAACACCATGGCTGGAGTATAATTTGTTGCATGTAGATTTTCCCAGTCGCCCATCGCCTCGTCTCTTTAGTTCCCATCTGCCCTACTATTTGGTACCCAAAGGATTACGAAGTAGAAGAGCAAAAGTAAGACATATTTTGCTAACATGTGAGGTGGTGTGGGGAACTGTCTGTCTTCTGTTCTATTAGCTCTGTATCTGAATGTTTTATTAACAAATAGGCCAATGGCACACAAACACATATTACATTGTTCCAATATGTTTGGTGGACACTAACAAGTTTTGAAGGGTGAGGAAAATAAACACAAACAAAACCGTGTTAATATTAGAATATCATGCCCTGGAGAAATAGCTACAAACCGAACTGAATATCGACCAGCTTAAGCTTATTTTTCCAGATGGATTGCAACACTTTGTGTTGCATGGCCATTTGCTATCTTAACATATCTGAACACTGTCAAGTTGAGGAATGCTATCTCTAGCCCTCAAATCCCTTCCCACAATCCCTACTCATAGTCACTCACGCCCTAGTCACCAGAGGCTTCAGCTGGTGCAAAATGCAGCAGCAGCATGAGCACTTGTGTGATCTCTAAGAACTTCATACATTACACCTCTTCTTTGGAAACTGCAGTGGCTACCACTTTGGTTCAGGATTCAAGATGCTGGTTATGACCTTTAAACCCCATCATGAGGCAGAAACATATAATTTGAAGGACCTCCCCTCCCTAGTTGCAGCTACACATCACATCAAGTCCAACAGGAAAGGCATGTTGAGGTCCCATCTGCTAGGGAGATTTGTCAGGCAGGATCTAGGAGGAAAGCCTTTTATTCTGTGGTCTCTGCAATATGGAAAATCATTCTCCTCGAGTTGAGACTGGCCCCAATCCTGTTGGCCTGCTGGAAGTTCCCCAAACATGGTTTTACTAATAAGCTTTGAGGTCCCATAATATAATGGAGCCTGTTAGATGAGTGTATGACAGATACTTGATGCACTCTGTGTATGCTTTGCTGTCAATCTGTCATCTTTCTCTTACAGATTATTTATGTGTTTAGAAATCCAAAGGATATCTTGGTTTCTAGCTATCATTTTCACAAAATGTCAGTCAAAATAGAAACCCCAAAAGACTTCAGTACTTTCTTTGAGAAGTTTTTGGCTGGAAAAGGTAAGAAGTCCTTCATCATGACAACATTATGTCAGTTTTTGTTTTGGATAAGAGATTATGAATATATTTCCATCTGCTTCCCACAAAGAACAAACAACCCACCCACTTTCCTAACATAAGTAAAAAATAATGATTCTCTATACTCCAGCAGTAATTTGTGTAAACTCTATGAAAACAGTTTATAATGGGATGGATGAGTGAAGAAGAATGCAGGACAACTTGAACAACTCATGAAGTAAAAATGGATAGGAGAGGCAAGCAAAAGGAGCTTATTACAGGACTAGTAATACTAAGACAAATAATACTAGTAATACTAAGATATGTTTAATATAGAGGAGAAAATGGAAGGAAATTATTTGGTGGTTTAAAATCAGGATGTGAATGGGTTGGAATTAGTGGGCCATGAATTGTTTGCAACTGAGCCATGGAAGTGGCAGGCAAGCACACATGTGTGTGCATCCCCTCTTGCGCAAGCAGCAGGAATCAATGTACACCGCTTGTGCAAATGCAGCTGCATACATGCTCGTGTGTACTGGCTGCTCACACAGAACTATCTCCTCTCCTCTCCTGCCAGTTGGCAAAACCAGAAGATTTAGGTGACTGAGTTAAAGAATCACACAGAAAGTGTTTTAAGAGTTGGAAGCAGAAATAGCTAACCGGAGTAAGTCTGATATTTGAAGAAGTATAACAAAAATTAAAGCAGATTGCCCCAAAATTTCAAATAAGAAAAAACAAAGAAATGAAACAATATAGCAGCAAGTTGACAAAAAAAATCCCTTAACAAGTTGGAGTACGCAACCATATTAGTTATGGCTCCCATTCCTTCTCTCTCCTCTCCACATTCAATGATATTAGGATAGCCCTTAGTTGAGCTATCATGCTTTTATTTGTAGGCCCATGAGGATCATAAAGATAAATGAGGATAAATGGAGGAAATTGAAGCATTAAGAATGTATCCCTGAGACAGATGGTCAGCTGGATCATTGCAGCCCTGAGCTGAACAACTGAACTCAGTGATTTCAAGACTGCCCTCATGTTTATACTAAATTACTTTCTCTCCTACCAGTGCTTTGTAGTTCGTGGCTAGACCATGTAGAAGGCTGGTATGCTCATAAGGGTGATTTCAATATTCTCTTCCTTTCTTATGAAGAAATGAAAAAGGTAAGATGTGTTTGTGTTGTGAAGTGTGAATAATCTATTCCAATAGGGAGTAACAGAGGTGATCATAATAATTTTTTTTAATTGTAAGCTTCTCAGAGTCATTGGCTTGAGATAGGTGGCTATGGAAATTAAACAAGCAAACAAACTTGACAATTTTGAATTGCAGGGAATTCAACTCCTAGAATTAGTAGCAATAGCCATGCTGGCTGGGCATTCTGGAAACTGAAATCTCTGCATCAACACATCTTAAAGATGATGAAGTTTGGAAATACAGCTGTGAATGTAGGCTTAATGCTTGCAAGAAAAGTGCAAATATTCACAACAGCTTAGAGGCAGGAATTCTCAGTATCTCTTCCAGAAAGCTTAGGGGACTGAATGGCTTCATTAACCCCAATATTGCCTTCAATGGTCTGGTAATTTGTTATTATTTTGCATTGCTTTATTTAGTATGCTTTATGTTTATTTATTATTTATTAAGCATTAATATCCACAAATGACCTAGAGCATGGGTCAGCAACCTGCGGCTCCGGAGCCGCATGCAGCTCTTTCAGCCATCTCCTGCAGCTCCCTGTCCACAGAGCTCGGCCTGGGTGGCCACGGCCCTTTGCCATCCTCCTGCTGCCACAGGGCTCTCCACCACCCTGCCCCACCTTGGCCCAGGCAGCTGCAGCCCTTCGCCATCCTCCCGCTGCCGTGGCGCTCTCCGTCATCCTGCCCCACTTCGGCCTGGGTGGCCACGCCCCTTCACCATCTTCCCACTGCCCCACTTTGGCCTGGGCGGCCACGCCCCTTCGCCTTCCTTCCGCTGCTGAGGGACTCTCCACCGCCTTTACATACCTTGGCCCAGGCAGCTGCAGCTCTTCGCCGTCCTCCCGCTGCCACTGCTGCCACTGGGCTCTCCGCCACCAACCCCTTCTTGTCTCCATCGGTGGTGCCTTCCTTGGCCTGGGCAGCCGTGCCCCTTCACCATCCATCCACTGTTGCCGTCGCCGCTGCCGGTCACGCTGAATGAGGCCAGAGAGGAGGCGGCGGCAACCGGGCAGCCATGGCCCTTCGCCATCCACTCACCACCGCCTCCACTGCCGGGAGTACCGAAGGTCCCGAAGGTTCCCTCCTGTTGCGGATCCACAGTGCCTGGGCTGTAGGGGAAGGGGTTGTGGGGATATTTGGGGCCTAAAAAGTTTTCCAGGACAGGCTTGGGGCTGGCCCTCTTTCCCTGGCCACAGGAGAAGAGGCGGCGCAGGGTCTCCACTTGGGCAGGCGGGCGAGTGAAATCCCGAAACATTTCGCATATGTTTGCAAAGAGAAGCACACCGCATTAGCTGGCACTGCAGGAGGTGGTCTTACAGCAATGCTGACAATCCGGTGTCTTGTTCTGCAGGTAGCAAACGAGAGGCATTTGTGTCTGCAACACCCTTTGGGAAGGGTTAGCCACGACCTGTGACGGTACCAGCCCTGTTCCTGTTTCTGCCCTGGTTTGATAAATTGAGATGGAAGGGTGAGCCCAGAGTAGAGGTATTGAGACATCCGTTCTACCAAAGCAGAGTTGAAAGTGCACGTTCCCAGCAGGTATTAAATCAGTCTGGATCAGCGTTTCTCAACTGCAGCAACATTCGGCCCGGGGAGGGGGAGCTGGACAGGGACAGGGACAGTGCATGTGTTGCCTTAGGCTCCACTCTTTAATCAAGCCCCATTACGTTTGTGTGCGCATGCGTGCATTTTGCGGCTCCTAGTTTTTTCTTTTGTGAGGGAAACGGATCCAAGTGGCTCTTTCACCATTTCAGGTTGCCGGCCCCTGACCTAGAGTCTTTTAAGTGCTGAGGTAAGGATAAATCTCACCAATAAATCAAGCTGCTGAAAATGCTTTTTGAAAAAAAATGAGGCTGTATTTATTTCCTTCACCACTGAATGGGTTTGCATGCTAATAGTTAAAGTTTTTAACCCTTTCTTTCTTTCTTTCTTTCTCTTTCTTTCTTTCTTTCTTTCTTTCTTTCTTCTTTCTTTCTTCTTTCTTTCTATGAAATTTTACTTCATTGTCTCTTGAGAGATTGCTTTTGCTCCCAGAATGGGGTGGGAAGAAATTAAAGTTGATTGCTCCTGTCACATGCCTCAATGTTTTACAATCTGAAGATGGTGCTATACAAATTGTTTCCCTTTTTCACTTTATATCCACGCAAGCAGAAGTGTGCAAGAGCCTCTTCTTTCAATCCATTGGCTGGGTGAAAAAAGAAAGACAGGCACAGAATCTCTTAGAACAGCAGCTCCCAAAATAGGAAGAACATGTACACAGACCCAAAAGACAAGGAAAAGAGCGGGAAAAGAATAAAATGTGATTGGCTGATACTATGTTTTACTGACATGTGTAACTCTGTGATTGGCTGTTGCTGCCTAAATAAGGAAATGCCTGACTGACCAAGGTGTGGCACTTCTAAACACAGCTGACAGTGTTTCGGACAGTGGTCCACACTGCAACTTCACTTGATCAATTAAAGTGCTGTTTACCTTGGAAGCCTCTGCTTGAGTCTCCTGATTTGTCTTCTTGGAACCTCAAGTTCTTCGGGTAGCTGTTGACCCTTACACTGCTCTCTCAAAGCAGGAGGTAAGGCCAGGGTGAGAAGAGCCAGAAGGCCTTTGAGATAGGAGCCATGAACCCTCCATCCTTTTACTCCATGGTCTCAGGAAGTGTATAAGAATTTCAATTCTTCACTCCAAAATTCTGGCAAATAACTAGTGTCTATTTTATCAATGCTCATTATTTGTGGAACAAAAATGTATCATTTTAGAGTTTAGATGGTTTGTGTGCTACATGCAACATCACAGTCTGGTTTGGAAGCATTACTGATTCAGAAAGGAAGGCAGTGCAGAGAGTGGTGAGGATGGCAGAAAAGATTATTGGCAGTTCCCTCCCTTCCATCCAGGACATAGCACATACAGTAGGTGTTGCTTGAGGAGAGTCTGCAAGATTGTCTAGGACACTATACAAAAGTGTTTCTCAACTTTAACAATTTTAAGGCATGAGGACTTCAACTCCCAGAATTCCACAGCCAGCAATGCTGTGGAGAAACACTGCAGTATACATCCTCTTCACAACCTGTTTTCCTTCTTACCTTCTGGGAGGAGGCTCATGGTATCCGAAGCAGAACATCCAGATTCAGTCATGGTTTTCTTCTATACAGTATTAACCTAGTGAATTCTAAAGCTTCCTCCTTCTGTTATGCATTAAAGATGGATAGTGATTAATATTTATGTTATATGTATATGTACTTATATGTAAGGGTGTTGTATATAGTTGTATATAGTATGTTTAAATATTTGTTATGTATATGTACACTTTGAGAGCAAACAATTAAATTTCATTTTTAATGTGTGCCATTGTGCCCACAGTAAAAAAAATGACAATAAAGGTTATCTATCTAGTATGATGACATGTGTTTATAATATAGTAGTCTGGTTTCTGAGGTACTTTTGAAGTATGGCAGTGTTAGCCTTGCCACAGCGTGTGTTGATTGTGCTATATTGGATTGAACGGTTAGACATGTTTTGATAAAGTTGCCTGAGATAAGATAGTCTTGTTAATTAGGTTATTACTCAATCGTGTTCTATGTCCTCTCTTGCTCATTTTTGGAATACAGAAGCACTGCTTACACAATGATTGACTAAAGATCCGCCTTCTTAAATATTTGAGCACTCTGCAGGAATGTAAGTTGGCTAAAGGACATGACATGAGTGACAGTTGGGGACTAGGTAAGGCAAGGTAAGAAAAGAATTGCAACTAGTATGTTGTTCATAGTGTAATTAAGGCTTTCTCTTCTACACAGAACTCCAAGAAGAACATCAAATTTATTGTTTGTAATGGAAACTTTTGTGGATGAAAATTGAGTTCATGAAACTAATTAATTAATTAGGGAAACTAATCTAATAATATATACATTGTTTTTCTTTATGTTAGCAGGAGTTATGATTTTTAAAGAACTAAATTAATATTGACCATAAATGTAGGAAGTACTGTTAATCGCTATATTATTATCAACAGCCAAAGTAATGGAGCCAGAGGACGATTTCCTATATAAATACAAAGGAATCTATTTCATAAATGGCATGTCTTCACCCAAAGGTATAGATTTACTGGACAGTTTGGAAATCCGAGATGATGATATATTCATAATCACATATCCTAAATCTGGTAAGTTCAAAGATGTCTTCCAAGAAAGAGATAATCTTGTATCCAGTGCTGTTATTCAGTTCCTCAGGATTTTGGTTGCTGTAACTGTGTTGTGCTATAACCAAATTTTAACATTTAGCATTTTATTTTATTTATGTTTTATTGATTTTCTAATTTTAAATTTAAGTATTTAAAAAGCAACGTCATGGCTGAGTTAATCGATAATTCAAGTATCTTTAGTACAAGTCTCAAACTACCACAATAAATATTTCCTTTCTTTTCCCCTTAGCATTTACTGTCTCATGTTTAAACTAATACAATTCTTATTATATCCATTAAATAAAAACAACATTCTTACATTTATCAATAATTTTTAGCTTATACATATCCTGGTTATTTTAACATTCAGTCTTTATAGACAATCAATGCCCTAATTAGTTTTTCCCAATTTTTAGTTTCATACGTTATTAACCTTGTGAACTCTAAAGCTTCCTCTTTCTGTTATGTATTAAAGATGGACAGTGATTAATATTTATGTTACTTATATGTAAGGATGTAGGTCTGTACATATGTTGTATATAGTGTGTTCAGATGTTCGTTATGTATGTGTACACTTTGAGAGCAAACAACTAAATTTCATTTTTAATGTGCGCCATTGTGCCCACAGTAAAAAATGACAATAAAGGTTATCTATCAATCTATTATGATGACATGTGTTTGTAATATAGTAGTCTGGTTTCTGAGGTACTTTTGAAGTATGGCAGTTTTCTTTATCTCAGTTCATAACAAAATCTAGTATTCAAAGTACACATCTTGTCTATTTGAGTATATTCTATTTTAATCCTCACTAATAAGTCAAAACCCCAATTTTCTTCAGCCTTATTCTAGCTTTCTTTCTTTGCCAACTTGCCTTCCATATCCATGCTTTTAAGTCATCAAATAGATCTCCCTCTTTTATTATATATCTTGTTTGAGATAAAAGAGGCCATCCAGTCGCCATTTTTTTTGAAGGGCTAACAAATTGTCTCTCTATTTTTCCATCTTGACATAGTTGTACTATGTTTAACTTCCCTTCAGTCTGTTCTTCTTCTTGATCCTCAGGTTTCTTCTGGTTTATATAGAAAGTCCTTTCCATTTCCAATGTTGTCAGTCCCTTTTCTGGGTTTTCTGTTAACTGTGCTTGTTGATGAGTTGAATCTTCTATCATAGTATTTGATTGTTCCACTTCTTCCATTATATTCTGTGTAGTTGATTCTTTAGTTGTAATCAAAGTTTGTTTTCATATATCTAGGCTGACATCTTGTTCTTTTCTGTAGCTTCTTATTTTATCAGTAGCTGTCAGAATAGTTTCATAAATTGCTTTCAGCATAAAGAGAATCTCTTCCTGATCTTCATCCATGTTCTCTTAGTGGTGTGTTAAATTAAAAGCTTTACAATCAGAGAATGAAAATAATTTTGTCACTGAGGATAGAACACAGCCGGGCTTCTCACAGCTGATATCTGTCAAGCTTGCAAAAGTCTTATGTATAGTCTGGACTTCAAGCCAAGTCTCTTTTAGACAATAAGTTGTAATATCAGGTTTAGCCACAAGATGTCGCCCATACCATTTAAGATTTTTTTTTAAGTCCAAAATTTTTATAATACTTTTCCCAATTTTACTTCTTTTTTGTAAGTAAAAACCCAAATCTTCAATAAGAATAAGAAATCTTTTAGTCCTCAAATTTGAGAAAGATAAAAATCCAGTTAGAATCAGGTTATTCTTTCAGCATTTTAAACTCCCCTCGATAGTCAGTCGCCCCTGTTTTTAGAGGGTGGGATAGAATTTCCCTTCCCTCTCTCCACTAAGGGGAAAATACTTTGGGCAGCTTCTACTGGTAGAAAAAAAAGTTAGGATTGAAGAGAGGTTCAGATCTCACCCAGTCTCATCCGTGCTGCTTTATAAGGTCACAGGAAATAATCAGAATGAACGGATTTTATGCCAAGAAACTCTGCTTTATTAAAGAAGCCATGTGAAATCCATGAACGAGTTTGTACATGATGCTGACCATAAAATGATTAGTTTGATTTTGATTTAACTGAGTATGAGTACTGAGTATTTGTGCTTTGTGAAACTTAGTTTAGGAGGTACAGTACCTCATTGGTATTGGTTTGTGAATGGATATGTCTATTATGGTGGCCAGTTTTTGAGCAGACAAATATATAATGTAATGTAATTATAGATTTGTCTTGTTCAGGAATTTGGAGGGGGGCAAGCAATGATTTGCTATCACAATTCTAAATATATCTACCAGCTTAAAAGGTGTATTTTTCCTGCTCTAGTGGCTATCATTTAAACAACAAAATAATGTCTGAAATGGTATAGGGTTTTCTGCCTGAGCAGGGGGTTGGACTAGATGACCTCCAAGGTTCCTTCCAACTTTATTATTATTATTATTATTATTATTATTATTATTATTATTATTACTATTATTACTATTATTACTATTATTATTATTATTATTATTGCCTGGTAATAAGTTTCACTTTAGCTGTCTGCAGCCTAGTGACGGGCCATATTTCTATGGCCGGTTTTTTATCCTCCAGTGTGGAGGCTTCCCCGGATCGAGCGGAAGATCCCCTCCTTGCTTACCCCTACAGAGCCACTTTTGACCCTTTCCAGGGCCCCCAGCGGTGCAAAATCGGACGTGGAAGACGGAGCTCGCCTTCCAGTGGCTACAGCAGCCACATCAGCAAACTGGAAGCCTCAACATTTAGCATTTTATAAGAAGCTGAAAACGTAGGAGAAATAAAGCTGCTAAACCTGTACTTTCATCATTTTTATTTTACCCATACATTGCTAGATGGGTGACCTTGGCCAGTCACACTGCCTCTGCCCACTCAGGATAATTGTGAGGAAAATAGGATGAGGAAGGATTATTAGGTATGCTTGCCATTACTTCCAAAACTAATAAAAGCAGGATAGAAATAAATGTGCAAATAAATAGCTAGTTTTTCTCATCCATCCATCACTTTAATCTGTCAATTTTAGAAGACTTCATTGTGTTCAGGCATCTCTGAAATATTTCCTATTTCTCCTGATAGGAAGGTTGGCTTGGCATAAGCTCAAAGTTCCCCAAGTAATAATGGATGAATTAATTTAATTATTCCTTATTTGCAGGCACAATATGGACTCAGAATATTGTGAGCCTGATTTTTCATGAAGGTCATCGAGATGGAACTGAAAATATTACCCTGAATGAAAGAGCACCATGGCTGGAGTATAACATTTTGCATGTAGATTTTTCCAGTTACCCATCACCTCGTCTCTTTAGTTCCCATCTGCCCTACTATTTGGTACCCAAAGGATTACGAAGTAGAAGAGCAAAAGTAAGACATATTTTGCTAACTTGTGAGGTGATGTGGGGAACTGTCTGTCTTCTGTTCTATTAGCTCTGTATCTGAATGTTTTATTAACAAATAGGCAAATGGCACACAAACACATATTACATTGTTCCAATATATTTGGTGGACACTAATAAGTTTTGAAGGGTGAGGAAAATAAACACAAACAAAATTGTGTTAACATCAGAATATCATGCCCTGGAGAAATAGCTAAGAACCGAACTGAATATCGACCAGCTTAAGCTTATTTTTCCAGATGGATTGCAACACTTGTGTTGCATGGCCATTTGCTATCTTAACATATCTGAACACTGTCAAGTTGAGGAATGCTATCTCTAGCCCTCAAAACCCTTCCCACAATCCCTTCTGTCAGCCACTCATGCCCTAGTCACCAAAGGTTTCAGCTGGTGCAAAATGCAGCAGCATGAGCACTTGTGTGATCTCTAAGAACTTCATACATGACACCTCTGTTTTGGAAACTGCAGTGGCTACCACTTTGGTTCAGGATTCAAGATGCTGGCCCCAATCCTGTTGGCCTGCTGGAAGTTCCTCAAACATGGTTTTGCTAATAAGCTTTGAGATCCCATGATATAATGGAGCCTGTTAGATGAGTGTATGAGAAATATTTGATGCACTGTATGTAGGCTTTGCTGTCAATCTGTCTTTTTTCTTGTTTTTTTGACTAGTTATTATCATCTTTCTGTTACAGATTATTTATGTGCTTAGAAATCCAAAGGATATCTTGGTTTCTAGCTATCATTTTCACAAAATCTTAGTCAAATTAGAAACCCCAAAAGACTTCAGTACTTTCTTTGAGACGTTTTTGGCTGGAAAAGGTAAGAAGTCCTTCATCATGACAACATTATGTCAGTTTTGTTTTAGATAAGAGATTATGAATATATTTCCATCTGCTTCCCACAAAGAACAAACAATCCACCCACTTTCCTAACATAAGTAACAAATAATGATTCTCCATACTCAAGCAGTAATTTGTGTAAACTCTATGAAAACAGTTTATAATGGGATGGATGAGTGAAGAAGAATGCAGGACGCTGAGGACAACTCATGAAGTAAAAATGGGTAGGAGAGGCAACTGAAGGGAGCTTATTACAGGAGAGAGATGAGTAATACTAAGATATATTTAATATAGAGGAGAAAATGGAAGGAAACTATTTGGTGATTTAAAATCAGGATATGAATGGGTTATGGCCCATTAGTGGGTTATGAATTATTTGCAATTTGGCCATGGAAATGGCAGGCAAGCACACACATGTGTGCCTACCCTGTTTTGCAAGCAGCAGGAATGCCTGCACACCACTTGTGCAAATGGAGCTGCATGCATGGTCATGCTTGCTGGCTGCTCACACAGATCCATCCCTTCTCCTCCCCTGCCAGTTGGAGACAAAACCAGAAAAGTTAGGTAACTCTAAGTTAAAGAATCACATACAAAGTGTTTTAGGAGTTGGAAACAGAAATAGCTAATCGGAATAAGTCTGATATTTGAAGAAGTATAACAAAAATTAAAGTAGATTGCTTTAATTAACAAGTTGGAGTACGCAACCATATTAGCTATGGCTCCCATTCCTTCTCTCTCCTCTCCACATTCAGTGATATTAGGATAGCCCTTAGTTGAGCTATCATGCTTTTATTTGTAGGCCCATTAGGATCATAAAGATAAATGAGGATAAATGGAGGAAATTGAAGTATTAAGAATGTATCCCTGAGACAGATGGTCAGCTGGATCATTGCAGCCCTGAGCTGAACAACTGAACTCAGTGATTTCAAGACTGCCCTCATGTTTACACTAAATTACTTTCTCTCCTACCAGTGCTTTGTAGTTCGTGGCTAGACCATGTAGAAGGCTGGTATGCTCATAAGGGTGATTTCAATATTCTCTTCCTTTCTTATGAAGAAATGAAAAAGGTAAGATGTGTTTGTGTTGTGAAGTGTGAATAATCTATTCCAATAGGGAGTAACAGAGGTGATCATAGAATCACTCTTGGTTGTTTCTGTGCACTCCTGTAGGAGTGGTGAGGTTTCTGAAGAAAAATAAGTTTCTGTCTCTTCTAAAGGAAGGAGGAGGATCTGGGAAATAGAGTGCTATCATCTTGATATCAAAAAGATTAATAAAAGGTATTTTTGTGAGCACTTGGCTTATTATGCTAGAATTCACAGGATGCATCTGTTGTAAACAAATCTGGCCAAACAAAGTTGATCTAATTTTTCATAGATTTACTTAGTAGATAAGGGAAATCCAACTAAGTATCTGTAATTAGCCAAAGCTTAGTCAAAGTCTCTCATAATATTTTCCTGTTTTGGCTCAGAAGAGATTGACTCAACTCAACTGCATTTTTAAGAAAGGCCAAGGCATTTTTTTTTTAGCCCGGCCTAGGAACTGGCCAGCCTCTGATACTGCCAAGATTGCTAAGAACATAAGAGTCTGAATCCTAGGGAAATTATGGCATATCAATATATTGTCAATTAAAAACATTTCTCAAAACTTGCCTTTGAAAACATTTACAACAAGTCCTAAAGCAGCATTTCTATTCAACAACGTTTACAACAAGTCCTAAAGCAGCATTTCTATTCAACAACGTTTACAACAAGTCCTAAAGCAGCATTTCTATTCAATGATATTGTTTCCTATAGTTTTCATTAAAAAAATAAACACTAATTATTTAATCAGGGTAGTTTTTTCAGTTTGAAAAGAAAGAATTAAAGGTTGGGGGAGTGAGTGACAGATATGATATGTGAGATCTCAACAAACCTTTCCATCTTTTCTCCATTGTTGTGGATGATCTAATATAAGGCTCTATCAAATTGCAGGACCTGAGAAGATCTGTACTGAAAATATGCAACTTCCTAGGAAAAAAGCTAACTGAAAAGGAGACGGATGATGTGGTAGATAAAGCTACATTTGATAACATGAAAATAGATTCCAGAGCAAACTACACATTCTTGCCTTCTGATCTCCTCGATTTCAGCAAAGGAAACTTTCTTCGCAAAGGTAGATCAGTAATAATTAATATTCTGGGACTGTGCTTTTGGAACGTGCTGGGCTTCATCTGAAACCACGTTCAACACTATAAATGAATTTGGCTGAAGCCATTTTCTCTTCATTTTTGGTAGCCACAGATTTGGGAGGAGGGATGAGTATTTTCTAATTTAGTCAAAACAATAAATTGTTCTATGGGAACCAAGGTCATTGCTGATTGCATTTTGGCAGGCTAAGGCTTCCATTAGAAAGCCTGGGCAAGTAGTTAATTGTGGAATGTGCATTATGACACATCATTGAATTGGGAAGTTCAACTTTGTAACCTGTGGGGGGAAAGCTTCAGTCTTGGTTTCACTTTTCAGTGTGCCAATACTACAGTAGTGGCCAAAATTGTGGAAACCTTTTGGGAAAAGTATACATTTGAGGTTTGATGGCTAATAACACCACTTTTTTTTGAATAGTACCATAAAATTATATATCAATTGAAAGATAATTTAATCAAGAATGTAATGCAATGAGGTTTGTTCAATTATCTGTATTCTATGAAAAGTTATAGCCAAATAACCAGAAAAAGGAGGGACAACTTGCTTAAGTTGATATCAGGTAACTTTTCTTCATTGGATTGTAGCCAATGAGCATTAGTGTTTAGAGAGCCAATCAGGTGTCATCTTGTTTTGGCAATGAGCCAATCAGATCACAGTAGGATTCAGTTATTGGTGTCATGTATTGAAGCTGAGAGGAGGACATTTGTCAGTGTGTTATGTGATTGCTATTAAGTTGGTTGGGTTTTTTTGTGTTCTTTCATTTAGTGAGCTTGTAAAACGTAATAAAATTAAAGTAATAGTGCAAACAGTTGACTGGTCACTCAGAAAGCGATGGAAAATAGTATGATTAAGTGAACAAGGCTACAGTTATAAAGATATTAGAAGAAAAATTGGTGGAAACTTAACCAAAGGTGGCATTTCTAAGTTTTTGAAGAGGTATAAGGAGACTCAGTCACTACAAAATCATACTGGTAAAGTCAGGAAAAGGTGCAGAACAGCAAGTGATGATAAAAGAATTAAGAGACTGTGCCTACGTGATAGAAGAAAATCATCTGGGTATATACAAGATGAAATGGCGCAATGCAATGTGAAGTTGAGTGCAAGGACTGTTTGGCGCAGACTGCAGGAATTTGGCCTCAAATCTAGAATTCCACAAAAAAAGCCACTTTTATCTCTCAAACAAAGGTTGAAAAGACTAAACTGGGCTAAAACCCATGTTACCTGGACAGAGGAACAATGACACAGTGTTATTTGGAGTGATGAGACCAAGATATCCCTGTTCGGTAGTGATGGCATAAAACACATAAGAAGAAGAATCAGATAAGATCCTGATTGCATTACATGTACCGTGAAATACCCAGTCAGTGTTATGATCTGGGGTTGTATGACATCAAAAGGTGTGGGCAGAATTTGTGTGATTAATGGGAATATAAATGGCCAAAAATACATTAATGAAAACTTGAGCCCAAACTTAAGCCTTCTGCACATGATCTTTTCCAAGACAATGAAGCATTTATATTTCAGCAAGATTCAGCTCCATGTCATGTTGCTGCTGTGTGCAAAAAGTGGTTTCAAGATAATCATATTCCACTGCTGGAATGGCCTGGGAATAGCCCAGACCTTAACCCAATTGAAAATCTATGGAGCCGACTAAAGAAACTTGTTAGTCAGAAGCAACCCAGCAATAAAACCCAGTTAACAGAAGCAATCATTCAATCTTGGTTTCACATTATAACAGCTGCAGAACTAAAGGACTTGGTTCACTCCATGGGAAGACATTGTAAGGCCATAATTCATGCTAAAGGTTACCCAACTAAGGATTAACTGACATGGTGATAATTTTTGTATATCTCATTTTTTCACATTTTTTTTTATTTTTATTTTAGACCAACAAAACAAAACAAAACACAGCAAAACATTACACACATACAAACATAATATATCCTTTTTGTTAACAGCAATTTGTAACAGTACTCTTCTATTATTTACATTTCCCCCCTCATTCTTCTTTGAAATATTTGTCCTTATTGCCCCATTGTTTCATATTTACGTTTTCCTTCCTTCATATTCTACTACTTAACTAGGAATAATTCATATTATTATTATTATACATTATTATACACATATCACCTCTACCAACACCTCATTTTAAATTTCCAACATTATTCATTGTAGTAACTCTCTTATTTTTTATAGGACTCGACCGGGATTCTATCTAGGCCTAGTGATCATACAAATATTCTCATAGTCCAAATCCACTAGCTTCTTTTATACCTTATTTTTTTAAAAAAGATTCACGTTAATTATTATTTAGTGCATATACTGTTTTTGCTCTAATACTATTTCCAACATTAAAATTCACCCCTTTTCATCCAAATATATTGATTTGATTTCATTTTTTCTTTGACATATATAATAATTCCTCCTTTCTTGTTTTATGCTAATATTGTGTATAATATTTCTAAATTTTACTTTCTCTAGTAGTTTTCTGTAATCCTATTTTATATAAACTTCCTAAAGATACATCACATCTACATCCAATTTCCTTAAATTGTTAAACGTTTAAACTCTTTTTCTTGATATATTTAATCCATTAATGTTTACAGATAAGAGCTTAATTATGACTCCTATTTTTTACTTGATCTATTTTTTATTTTTTATTTTTTTTATGCTTCTTGTCTCTATAAGTCTTCCTTTTGCTTCTCTTTCTAACCTTTCTCTTTCTTGTAACTTTTGTATTTCTCGCTCTCGATCAACTTCCTCTAATAAATCTTCATCGTAACTTTTACTCTCTGGCTCTTTCCTACTTTCTTGTTCTTCTCCTTGTGAAAAGTAACACTCATAAAAGTCCTGTGCTTTCTCAAGTGTATCTATCTTGTATTTTTTTTTCCTGCCAAGTTAAAAGTATGCCTTCAGGTATTAACCAACGAAACATGACTTTATATTTAATTAATTGAGTCGTTAAAAATTGGTATTCTCGTCTCTGATTTCGTATACTATGTGGTATTTGTTTTAATACAATTATTTCTTTACCCTTATATATTATTGGTTCAGCTCTAGTTTTTTAATATATTTCATCCCTTATTGATCTTCTAGTAAATCTTATATGGACCTCTCTCGCCAATCTATGCCTTCATGCATAATTCGTATGTACTCTATATATTTTGTCTATGTCTCTTCTTACTTCTGTTTTTCTTTGCCTAAAATCTCTGCCAACATCTCTGCCATCTTTTCTCCCAATTCTTCTTCCTTTTCCTCTACAATATTTTGAAATCTTAGAAAGAACGAAGCTTTGTTCATTTCCAGAAAAGCAATAGATTCAGTCAACTCCTTATTTGTCTGCTCAGATTTCTGTATCATCCCTTCTATTTTACTATCAACAAGCTCCATTTTTGTTTTGACTTTTTGAATTCTTTGTTCATTTTCCATCATTGTTTGTTGTATATTACCTATCTTATCATTCATATTTTTAATTTCATCTCTCATTTTTACAATATCATTCTTAATTTCTTTATGATGTATTTTCATTTCTTCATAATTATTTGCTATTGCCTCTTGGGTCATCATCATTGTTTCTTGAATCGTTTGTAGTGTTATCTGCAAACTCTGTGGGTTCATTGCCAATTCTACTTTTTCTTTTACTTTCACCAACATGATTCTATGGCCTGAAGGAGAGGCCATTGTAGTTGTGGGATTTGTAACTGTTTTTTTGCTAACTTTAGTTGTAGTTACAGTACTTGTCATTTTTATTACTTGAATAATATTTCTCCACTTTTGCATAAAGAATATATATAATACTTCTAGGGGGGGTTGTTTCTGGCGTTCTTGTAGTCTTCGGAGTTTGTTGGTGTGTGTATCTGTCTTAAGGGTGGTCTGTGTTTCGGCTCTCCAGACGGCGAGTTGTTTGGATTTGTCCCAAAGTGCGGGGTGGATCTTGTTGCTGAGTTTGAGGTGGAGTGTGAGGAGATCTTTGTTAATTCGGTCTAGGAGGAATCTTTTTGTGTGAAGTTCATTTCTGATTAGGGCCAATTCTGTTCTTTTCAGGATCCGTTTGGTGGCTGCAGAGTTGGAGTGGAATTTCAGTTGGAAACATGTGGGGATTAGATTTTGATCTCGGCAGTTGCGTAGGAATGCGAGGTCGCATAAAATGGAAGCTCTTTGGACTTCAAGTTTTTCATAGGTCCTGGTCAGATGGTGGATTTCCTCCCCGTAGAGGTTCGATATTTGTTTTCTGAGGTTTTCGCGGGTATTTGTATGTAGGTCTTTGGTTGTTCGGGTTTTCTCCTGCGTAAAATTGGAAGTGTCTTGGCAACGTTTCGACGAAGTCCCATTCGTCATCTTCAGGCTGGTGTTTTCAGCTTCGTGCTTTGAGCAGCAATGTGTGGTCTTAGCTGTTTCTTCCTTTTAACTGCCAGTGGGGGTATGAACTGATTGGGTGGGAGCTTGGCTGTGTTCTGATTGGGTGGAGGTGTGTTCTGAATGGTTAGGGGCTTGGCTGTGCTCTGATTGGCTGGGGGAGTGTTCTGTTTGGTTGTGCTCAGGTTAGTCTGAGTTGCAGAGGGGTTTAAGATTTTAGGCTGCCTTGCTATTTTTTGGCTTCTCGTTCGTGGTCGTGCCTCCTCTTCATGGAGGGTGTCAGTTTGCTTCATGTATGGATTGGAGGGGTTTAAAGTGGCTAATGATGCAGCTGTGGTCTGGCTTCTGGTTTGTGGTCGTGCCTCATCATCGGTGTGGCTTTGGGTTTGTTTTTTGCGTGGATGTGTGGTGGTGACCTCCTGTGTGGTTTTTGTGAGTGTGGGTCTGGTATCAATTCCACTCCAACTCTGCAGCCACCAAACGGATCCTGAAAAGAACAGAATTAGCCCTAATCAGAAATGAACTTCACACAAAAAGATTCCTCCTAGACCGAATTAACAAAGATCTCCTCACACTCCACCTCAAACTCAGCAACAAGATCCACCCCGCATT